ACTACAGCATGTGAGTATCTTTAGCACAATAGTCCAACAATACTGTAATTAGGTTTGGTATAGGATGACCAGAATAATCCTGTCAGAGACCATGTGACCTTATGAGCTGAAGGATGTTAGATCTGTAAAAAATAAGTCAAGGCAACTGGACTTGCTGTATCAGAAGTCAAGAAAAATACAGCAAGTCCAGTTGCCTTGGCTTATTTTTTACAGATATGCCATGACCTGGATGAATGAGAACCTTCCCAGACATGAAGGATGTTAGGATTAAAAAAATCTTGTATTTATTGAAAAAAAGGAGTTTTAGGTTTTTTTTATTTACGTCTACATATTTTCTAGTTTTGGATAGAGTTGTTTAATTTTAGAACCTCTATATGGTTTTATAGCTGCATCTCTTTTCACTTCCTGTCCTCAAGGAAATCTCCACAAGGTGAGGACATAACCCACCTATGACAGTTGTCAGGGGAAAAGGTGTCCCCACTGGGACATTACCTCTTTTGTAATCTTACTCAGACTGGAAGAGGGAAGATCAACACTAGAAGCTAATGATAAACAAAACAGTAAGTCACCAGCACTCCAAAGATTCTCCAAGCAAAGTTCTTTTTCTTCCATGTGTAAATTTACCTCAACAAGTGTAGCAACGTTTCGAAATGCATCCGGTTCCTTCACCAGGCAAAACAAAGTGATGCATGTACAGTGTAGTAATCACAATATATACAGGCAGTCCCCGGGTTATGAACAAGATAGGGACTGTAGGTTTGTTCTTAAGTTAAGTTGAAAAAAAAAATGTTGGTTTTGGATAGCATAGGGAAGGGTTTACCCCCTGTAAAGTTTGTTTTGCTGCGTGTGCCCCTGTTCAGAAGATTTCACCTTACTTTCTGTCCCTGTGACAATTGGAATTTGAAAACTTTGGGTTGTCATGGAAACAAGGATTGGTGATAAAGCTTCAGTGGAGACACCTTTTTTCCATGATCACTATTACGGGAGTGAACTTCCTTTCCTAGGGGTAGATTTCCTGTCACTTCCTATTT